TGTGCCCCCCCCCCCCTTCCCTGTAATGAAGCAAAACAGAAAGCCGACTCCAGGACCCATCTGTATGCACAGCATCTCAGCCGGCTGCTTAGAAGTGTCGGTTCTTTTCTGCTCTCTTTTTCCTCCTATTGTCAGCATTCGATTACCACCATCAGCTCAAATAATTCTTTTCGCTAGCAGCAGCTCATCCAGTTTCCAGGGCAGCATACTCCATTACCACCAGCCGATACGTGGGTAGCTGTGAACTCACCTCTCAAGAAACTGATCACATTTTTCTCTGGCTAAACTGAAGGATGGTGGGGGGGAGGGGGGAAAGGCGCTCAATACAATCACCTTAACCTCCTCAGAATGCCAGGCAGACTCGGGACATGTTACACCATCTGGCCAGAGATCAGTAAAGGTCCATCCACACCTGTGCTGTACTCATGAGTGATGGGGTGGCTGGCAAGTTAAATACCCTGCAAGGATCCCATGTAAGTGAGCAGTATTCGGTATGAAGGATTGCTGTCAAAATGCCATGTAACTAAAGTGAGTTGGGTCGGGGCTAGGCGCTACCTTCCCACTTGGAGTGGGTGGCGGTTAATCTTAGGGTGACCATCTGTCCCATTTTTAACCAGATTGGCCCTTAATTAAGCCCTCTTACAGGTGTCCCGCCTTTTTTAAAGAAAAATGGGCAAATTGTCCTGAATTTTCCTCTCGGGCACTCCCCCTACTGCTCAGTCAGTGTCAGCGCAGTCAAGGTATCCTGTTAGTGATGGCAGGTGAATGCAGACAGTGGCCAGCAGGGGGCATGCTAAGGCGGGGGCAGAGGCAGAAGGAGATAAGGGGGTTAACACACAAGCAAGTTAAGAGGTCAAAGTCTAAGGCACAACCCTAGGTCAGGGTGGGGCAAACAGACAAAGGGGTTAACACACAAGCAAGAGTTCAAAGTCTAAGGTGCAGCCCTGGGTCAGGGCGACAAGTGGCTACCACCAGTGATCTCCTCGCTTCCAGAAAGCCGACAAGCGCAGGGGTTTTACCCCCACCAGGGGAACTTGCCACCCAAGGGCAAGGAGAGCGGAGGGGACACGGGCCCTCTCTACTCCACCATGTCCCAGCCCAGGGCCCTAATGGTGGCCCCCCCATGGCCACCGAGTCGGCGGGGATCCGAGCCGTTACACGCCGATCAAGCCGAGGGGTCAGTGGGGTTCCAGGCCATGGCACGCTGCCCACCTGACCTCCATCTCCTCAGCCGTCCCAGGGTTGGCTGTCCCTGGGCCACTTCCGAAGTCCTCCAGGGGTCTTACCCGGCTCCGGTGGGTCAGCGGAGAATGGAGGAGCTGGCAGGGTGTCCATGGGTTTGGGCTCCGGCAGGCGTCCGGCCCGGCAAGGGTCCTGGTGGGCTTGGCGCATCCTTGGGTGGTGGCCGGGGCCTTGGCAGCCCCAGCCAGGGCTCGGGAATCAGCAGGGGTCCGGGCAGTCTGACCCAGTCGTCTGGCTGGGGGTAGCACAGCCGGGCCCTTCAAGGTGGGAGCCAAGCACCTACCCTGCTTAGCTGTCTGGCTCTGTCTGAGCTCTCCGCTCTTATACCGCTAGTCCTGCCCTCTAACTTCCTGTGGGCGGGGCTGGGGGAGGCTGGACCCACCCACCAAGGTGTCTTGGAGAGCACTTCCTCCTCGGGATCAGAGAGCGGCCATGTTGCTTGTGCTAGTTTTCTACAAGGAGAGACTGGGCCCCAGAGAAGGGAATGGGGTGACCACCTCAGTGGGCCTACACGGGAGATGGAGGCCTCATCTTGCATAAGGTTAGACTCCATGCATTTCTCATTCTCCCCTCGGTGTGTTTAGAGATGAAGTGATGGAGCTACAAATTGCCAGCCATTTCTGGGACCCTCTACTCACAGGTGAAGATGGGCCAACCCAGCCCCTAATTATCTATGTAATTATCCCACTGCCAGAAATAATAACCATGGAATTGGAACCTGTCTTAAATGTTCACTTATGGGACCAAAATAATCAGCTGCTTAAAGAATCATAGGACTGGAAGGGACCTCGAGAAGTTGTCAAGTCCTATCCCCTGCCCTCATGGCAGGATCAAACACCATCTAGACCATCTGAGATAGGTGTTTGTCTGACCTGCCCTTAAAAATCTCCCATCGTTGAGATTCCACAACCTCCCTAGGCAATTTATTCCAGTGTTTAACCACCCTGACAGGAAGTTTTCCTAATGTCCAACCTCAACCTCCCTTACAGCAATTTAAGCTCATTGCTTCTTGTCTTACTATCAGAGGCCAAGGAGAACAATTTTTCTCCCTCCTCCTTGTAACATCCTTTTAGGTACTCGAAAGCTGTTGTCATGTCCTCTCTGTCTTCTCTTTTCCAGACTAAACAAACCTATTTTTT